ATATATATATATATTATAATTTTGTAATTTTTAAACAATTTTCTTTTTTTAAGATTTAAAATTTTGAAATAGAAGAAGATTGCATAAAAAGTATATCTTTGTGTTTAATTTTACACTCGCTCGACGCAACATAGTATGCTAAGTATGTTTGTTGATAAATATTAAGTAAGCCAACATGATAAGGATCATAATCATAATCATGATGTAGATGCGATAAATATATAAATGTGATTTTTACTTATGCTTAGATGTCTTGACCTTGACCCTCATTTACTATCGTTCATTATTTTGTATCTGAACAAATTGAGAGGACTTGAGTATTTAAAAGACAATAACGACTTTTAAAGAACATTTTCACTATTTTTCCAAAAGCGATCTGAAGATATACTCAAAACATGCAGAGCTACAACTTTTAAATATGGAATGATCGTCACTAGTTTCACTTACAACTGCCTCCCAGGCTCATAGCTCTATAATTAAAAGACTACTACTTCATAACATATCATATTGAAGAAAACGTTTTTTTTAAAAATTATTTATTAATAATTGTTTTTTTTCATTTCTTTTCCCTTTACTTTGCTTTTTTTATTTAAGTGAACCGGTTGTTTTTCTTAGAATAATTAAACAACTTCGGAAATTCCCGCTATTAAATGGCGTTCATTTCTGCTTCCTAATTCCTCTTTATTTACTATTCCGACTATTCCTCGGGTAAGGTTTTTAAATATTTAAACGCCGATTTATGACATTACTCAAAGGCAAAGACAGAGTTGTCCAAGCAAGAATTTAAGACGTTTGTAAGTACCTCAAATATTCTAAATCCAATTAAATCATCAATGTATTTAGGATAATACTAAACAATTTAATATTGAATAATGTTTCAAGCAGTTTTCTGATTCAATTAAGAACTGTAGATGGTGAACCAGTTACAGTAGGAATGTGGAAAGTAAAGGACCAATGCGTTGTGTGACTTTTTTTTTTATTCAGTCACCTTTCTTACTCAATTTTGTTGTTCTTCAAAGAATTATTTTTAAAAATAACATTTAATAAGTGACAATTCATACCCGGGTACCAGAAGTGAGAGGTTAGGATTTTTTTTTAATGTTTACAATTAACAAAAAAAAAAAAAAACAACATTTTAAAGTAAAAAATAAAAGTTTAATCTTAGTGTAGTTGCTAGACATCGATTTCAGCAGGATAGTCGCAATTGTTAGCTTTCTTCTAATTGAGCATTCAATTTGTTTTTTTTAAAACGTGATAAATATATAAACACATGATAATATATATATATATATATATATATATATATATATATATATATATATATATAGTGCGTAAAAACTACAAAAAACATTTTAAAAAATTGTTGCCTTCATGTTTAGTTCTGCTTTAGTCAGTATATTTCCCATAAAATCTGCATCTTTAAATTTAAAAACTTGTCAGTGCACAACTAGAGGTTAAGAGGAATCACCAATTAGGACGAGACTTAGTTTGTGTTTTACCCTAAGTCTGGACAGGACGGATCTGGTAACCTTTAAGTTAAATTATATGTATACTTTTTTATATTTTTTTTGTTGGGTTGGCGTTCATTAATTTTAAAGATTTTATGTATGATAAGGCATACTATTAATAAGGGCTAATATGTGTCTAGCTTTTTTTGTTTCAGCATAAATTAAACTATCATAAGTGTCTACCTTCTTTAAGGGAATAAAGTGAGTCCCATAGAATCACAAATTATACATATGAACAAAACTTTTATTAAATGCACACGTGCTTTGCTTTAAGTAAATATTTCTTGGATATAACATTAATTATTATTGAATGGTGATGAGTTGAAAAACAAATCATTTAAATAATCCACAAGTTTATATATTTAATGTATACAAATATGATTTATTTGCTTCCTTTATAAATAAAATCAACCCACGAATGGGAACGATTACTTTTTCACGTTTTAAGTATGTATGTAAATAATATGTAATCACACAAACATGTATTCAAATTTTTGTACTTTTGTAATTAATCTTTTTAGTCCATTTTTATTAAATAAAAGCTATATATATATATATATATATATNAACATGATAAGGATCATAATCATAATCATGATGTAGATGCGATAAATATATAAATGTGATTTTTACTTATGCTTAGATGTCTTGACCTTGACCCTCATTTACTATCGTTCATTATTTTGTATCTGAACAAATTGAGAGGACTTGAGTATTTAAAAGACAATAACGACTTTTAAAGAACATTTTCACTATTTTTCCAAAAGCGATCTGAAGATATACTCAAAACATGCAGAGCTACAACTTTTAAATATGGAATGATCGTCACTAGTTTCACTTACAACTGCCTCCCAGGCTCATAGCTCTATAATTAAAAGACTACTACTTCATAACATATCATATTGAAGAAAACGTTTTTTTTAAAAATTATTTATTAATAATTGTTTTTTTTCATTTCTTTTCCCTTTACTTTGCTTTTTTTATTTAAGTGAACCGGTTGTTTTTCTTAGAATAATTAAACAACTTCGGAAATTCCCGCTATTAAATGGCGTTCATTTCTGCTTCCTAATTCCTCTTTATTTACTATTCCGACTATTCCTCGGGTAAGGTTTTTAAATATTTAAACGCCGATTTATGACATTACTCAAAGGCAAAGACAGAGTTGTCCAAGCAAGAATTTAAGACGTTTGTAAGTACCTCAAATATTCTAAATCCAATTAAATCATCAATGTATTTAGGATAATACTAAACAATTTAATATTGAATAATGTTTCAAGCAGTTTTCTGATTCAATTAAGAACTGTAGATGGTGAACCAGTTACAGTAGGAATGTGGAAAGTAAAGGACCAATGCGTTGTGTGACTTTTTTTTTTATTCAGTCACCTTTCTTACTCAATTTTGTTGTTCTTCAAAGAATTATTTTTAAAAATAACATTTAATAAGTGACAATTCATACCCGGGTACCAGAAGTGAGAGGTTAGGATTTTTTTTTAATGTTTAAAATTAAAAAAAAAAAAAAAAAAACAACATTTTAAAGTAAAAAATAAAAGTTTAATCTTAGTGTAGTTGCTAGACATCGATTTCAGCAGGATAGTCGCAATTGTTAGCTTTCTTCTAATTGAGCATTCAATATGACGTGCTACATAATGATTTGTTTTCCCATTTATAAACTAAAAATCGCCCACTTTTAATAAGAAAATATCGACATAATAATAATATTTTAAAATTTTGATTCTTTATCTTTTTAAGTCCGATTTTAACACTATCTAATAATAAACTGATAGAGTTGCAAATAATTTAGTTTTTCAGATGGCGAGCCGAGGCCCCAATGGTGAGGAATGTTCAGTGTTATGATAGATAGCTGTGTGTGATGCTTGGTGCTTCTCGGTTTGTTTTGAATTAAGGAGATTGTGGAGTGTGTGGCTGTATGGTGAGGGGAGTGTTGTGTGTGAAGTGAGAATAAGGAGTGTAATGTCAGGGAGTGTAGTGTGTGGAGTGTTGTGTGGGCAGAGTGATGCGGGGAGGGGGGGGGTGGGTATGATCTCGGGAAATGTAACTTGAGGAGCGTTGTCAGTGTATTTTGGTATTGAGATTGGTGTATGGTTATTTTGGTGTCGAGAGTTTGGTAATCTCTAATTAGCTTTTGGTTTATAATTTATTGTCAGTGGGAGATGTGATATTGGTTTAACGTGGCATTTCTTACATATAAAGTTTACAACAGATCTATGTCTATGGTGTTTTTATTCTAGTTTATGTGAGTGTGCTTTTAATGAGTTCTTACCCTGGGTTAATGTGATATAACCAATTACAACAGATCACGAGGCTTCTGAAAACGGCATTACAATTAATGTTTTACATGGAGAGGACGTCTGCCAAAAAACAATCCCCTTGACAGATAAAGATGGAGAAGAACTCCGGGTAAAAGAGGTGAGTGCAGAATGTATATTACGTATTTTCTTAATTTTTTATCCGTAACATGAAAGGATGGCATTCAAAGAAAGTCATTTAGAATTTAGGTAAACAAAATGTAAATTAATTAGTTTAACTTTCATGCAACACACCCACACAAAACATTTAATTTTTAAAAAAATCTAAAGTGATAACTTACTAAGGTAGTCTTATAATAAATTATCAATACATTCTGAAATATTTCCCCACAGGTTAAGCAATTTCTTCTTCCAAGATTTAAGATCTCCAACCCAGATGGCTACCAATTGGTAGGTAGGCTTAATGGTGACGCATGGTCAGAACTTGACGATGACCAGAAAATTACTGCGTACATAGACTACCTCACTAGTGGCTGTGTGTCGTTTCAAAGTAAGATTTAAATGAATGGTAATCGTGATACTTTTTGTACCTGGGTGTATGTTTGAACTATAAAACTATTGACTGAGGGAAAACTTTTGACAAAAATGTGTTCAACTCTTAACCCCACTTTTTGATCTAACACCTTCAATAGTGTTAAATTGTGTACTAATCTTCCAATCGCATGTATTCCGGTTTTTTATTAGAAACTTTACACCATATTGTCATAATAAATGAAAATATCCTGTATTGTATAATCAAGAGTTCAGTTTTTTCTTTTGTTTTCTTTTTCAAAACTTCCAACACATTTTACTTAAAATACTTTTTTTATACATTCATTCACACTTTTGTACATACAAGTCATCACTTCATGTCTGACAATTTGAATACAAAAATTGAAGTTTATGTTTTGAGAAATAAACAATAATCACTAATAATAACTCTCTAGGTATGTACATATGGCTTCCATGCTGTGTTTAATAGGTGAGCAAAAGAATAAACATAAATTACTCACTAGCTTTATTTCTTCACGATTAACTACAATTTGCTTGCTGCCAAATTGAAATCCGCATAGTTATCTCCCCATAATAATTATCCCGTTTATGTAATACCGTAAGACTTGTGCATTTGAAATTTAGAAACAGTTTAAATAAAGCAAAGAAAAGTCAAAACAATAAAAAGAAATTTTGTGTATAATAAATGTAATGTTTAAAAAACAAGTGAGGTAGAAAAAATGTTCATTATTGCATAATAAAAAAAGTAGGAAGATTGCACTCTAATTAATTCACTGATATTCTAAAGCAAATTTTGTCGTACTAAAGATTTATTAACAAAAATAAATTTTATGGTCGTGATTTTATTATTATTTTTGTCCATGGCATCACACATAATATTGTGTTGTATCAACTTTATGTCAACTTTTTTTTTTTTTATTTGCATAATTTGCAGAAAAACTAAAGATAGAAATGGAAGTAGTACATTTATGTTTATATATATTAAAATTTGGAATTATATTTTTATACATTCTAAAATAGAAAAAACACTACTTTTTTATTTAACTATATCAAATAGCTGTTTTGAGATGAAATGTTGGAAATATATTTTTACACAGCGGCAACTTGATCAAAAAATGTCTCGCTAGTTAAGTCTATTTTAGCGAAATTTTGTGATTAATTCACTTCCCTTTTAATCATTTAAAATTATAAACTTAAGATGTATATTTGAAATATCAAAAATATAAAATTCCATTTAATTAAAATATACACCAAGTTTCAATCCAGGGGATTTCTTGTACAAGATTATATCCATATGAACATGATGATCAAGTTGATGAAAACACTATAATATAAAATATATCTGACAAAAATAGTCATAGTAAGATTGATTGGTTCTATTATTTTTTCAATGACCTTTTTTTGTGATGTAATGCCTTCGTCTAAATTGACACACCATGCTGGATTATATCTGTCCTCCATTCTAAACTTGCATATTGAGATGAACTTAATGAAGTCGGAATTTAAACAGCAAACAAAAAAAAAATCATGCAGACAAAGGTTGTGTACAAAGAAAACAAAAAAAAATATTTAATTTTAACTTGAGGCGTTGTTATACATCTACAATAAATGTTATCGCATGGTTGAAGGTTTGAATGTCTTGTGTTCAGTGCTTTGTTTAATGAGGTCTGAAGCTGAAGAAACCTTGCGTGATGTAAACAAAGTAGTTTGTGATTAGTGCATCGTCCCTCATCTGCTCGTTTCTTCCGTCTTGTAAATTCCCAACCATCGTGTAACGATCTGGATGTTTAATGTTTTGAGTTGTTAAAACAGACCTCTTTACCTAAAGAAATAAATTATAATAGTCATTGATTAAAACAAATATTTTAAGAAATTTAAATATCATTTTTCAATGCTGAATTCTCTGTGAAGTCGTATTCCGTGTAATTCCAATTGTTTAAAACTTAATAAAATTACTTTTTTTTTATATATATAAAACAATAGAAGTTGAAAGTAAAAAAAATGGAAAAATTTTTCAAAAAAGAAAAGAAGAGAATAATGAAAGGGAAAATGTGATCAAATAAAAAAGAGAGAAAGGCAGAAAGAAACAAAAAAAAACATACATAAAGACAAAAAAAAACAAACAAAAGACATAAAATGCTGATACGTATAGTATATCTTATAATCGAAAGCTGCAGGTTACAGAAACTAAATTTACAACATTTATTTTAACTGTAAAGTCATGTATGTTGAATTTTTATTTTAGTTTTAGATTATAAGTATAAGATTATGTATTAGTAAACGTATTTTACTTGACATGCGTTTATTAAATCCTGTTACATTTAATCAGTGCTTTTTTTGTAAAAAAAAATAGGTGCCGGTACTCAGTGATGGATTGCCTGACTTTTAACTACCGGTTCGCACCTCGATGCAAGCTAAATCCCAACTGCAAAAATACTAAATGTCTAAAACAATTTTATTTTATAATAAACCAACTTAAATTGTTTTATTTTTACTTTATTAGTATACCGTATTAATTAATAATAAACGTTAAAATACAAGAAAAGAAATAATTTTTTCCCCACATTGGAAAATGTGCCGGTACTGCATTTAATCAAGGATTTAAAGCAAAAGAGAAGTTCTCTAGTTGTTATTACTTTTTATACATTTAAAATAAATCTCTTAGCAGTATCCGATCTTTAAAAAAAAAGTTTTATCGGTTATGATGTGTTATGTTTAATATAATTTAATGTGTTAATAGATAGTTTTCTTTTTGGGAGGTGTAATTTTATCCATTTTCTGGGGCGTTGTGCTTGTTAATGCTTCACATCATTGATATAACATTGTCTGCACTCTATGTGAACTGACCTGCCCCACTGGTAGGTCATCTCCATTGACATCTGTAATTTGAATAGCAACTTTTCTAACATCATGAATATCGTCATGTGGGAATACAATGCGAACTTCCAAACTGTCACTATCTGCCTCTGAAAGATGATTGGTGCAGAGAACTAATTGTACTTTGTTCATATATATATATATATATATATATATATATATATATATATATATATATATATATATATATATATATATATATATATATATATATATATATATATATATATATATATATATATATGTATATTTATATAAATAAAAAGAAATTACATTTTTCCCTTTACAAAGAATATTATCCTGGAGAATAAATTGATAGACAATAAGCAAAAGAATAATGATAATATTATAAGTTATAAGATTAATGTTAAGGAACTTAATAAAAGTTCACATCTTTAGTCTTTAGAGATGAAACATTAGGAAAGATGTTGTGATGACCATTGACATCATGTTTGTTTTATGGAGTGCCTAGAGAAGGAGGAGGAGGGATAGAACTATGACGCCCGCTCAGGAAATCAACAGTGGAAATTAAAAAAATCTAAAAGCAATATTCTCAGTAATGCAAGAATTAGAAATACTCCCCTTACACTGGCCCTTACAGACCCTGGTAGTTTGTGCTCTTTCGTTTAGGAACCCCTGCATTAAACAGTCCCCTTTTCTTCAGCACACAGAACAAATGAAGATATCAGAATGAACAGACCACAGGAAACCACTCAAGAAATATCCATTGTTGCCCCCCCCCCCCCCCCTTT